ATTTGATACACCAACAAAGCATCCTTGGTAAATATTGTTAAAATTTGTATTTAATAATATTTACCAAGGAAGACTCTTAAAATAAGAGTTACTATGTAATATAACTTCATTTTAAATAGAAAATTTAACCCAGAAAAGAAAAAAATCATAATTATTTTATTTATTCTATAAATGTTTATTAAAGACTTATTAAACGTCAGAGGCATTTTTAGGTCTTTGGGATAGGTGCCAACATAGTCCAACTTTTTTAATTAAATAAAATGGTCTATGAAATATTAAACTGTTTTTTTTCCTTATTCTAAAAAAAAAAAAAACTATTTTCATGGAATAAACTTTCCAGATCTGTACTGGTAATCATTTTTAAATCAGTTTATTGAATTGAATGATTTTTAAATGTTGTAAATGACACTATTGAGAAAGCATGCTTACTTCTAATTTATTATATAAAAGTGAACCAGATTAATGGGATTTCATTTAGTGACGTAAAATGTTTTATAAGCATCTTTCCATTTTATTATCTTTACACAGCACTACCCCTCCAAAGTTGGACAAGGAGTTAAGGGTTAAGGGAGAAGATAAATTAAAAATAGGAAGAATTTCATCATTTCTGAAAGAAGTGATAATAGAGCTTTTGGAATAGTACTGAACAAAGATGTACATAATATTTGTATTATATGGAAAAGAAGTTTGTGTTTTACCTAATTAAAGATAAACAAAAGAGCCAAATAAGTGTATATTTGGGAATATTAAAAGTAATGCTACATCTTCAGTTTAGGCTAAATAAGTATTCCAGTATATTTAATTTGCAACAAAAATTAATTTTCACTTAAACTATTAGGAGTAAATCTATTGTGCAACAGAAAGAGCATGTGAAATAAAACAGTCCCAGAGAAAACACCGATTATAGATCTCCCAAGAAAAGCACAAAATTAAACATAACATACCTCCTAAAAAAGGAAAATAAAGCTAATTTATTCTTGTTCTTCCCTGTTTAGAGACACCACACTATAGCAGTTTATTTACAGTGGTCATAAAGTTTTAGGAAGACTCAAGATTTTATTCTCAAAAAAAAAAACAAAACAGGTAACATTTATTAAGGGCTCTCTGTTCAAAAAGCACAGTACTAAATCCTATGGAAAAGATAAAAATGAATAAGATTAAGACCTCCTTCCAGAGAGTTCCTAATGTAATAGAGACAATTTTTTAAATTACAAGAGAGGGTAGTGGGTGCTAGATACAGTAATACACTGAATAGAAAATTGAAAATACTTCTTCATCTGGAAGTAACAGAAGGCTTGATAGAGTAGGTAAATTTTGTGTTGTTTTTTATTCTTAGTAAAGAATGAGTAGGAATTCGACGTGGAAAATAGAGCAGCAATTAGAGTGAGAAATCTGGAAAGAGAGAACCGTAAGTTCCTCTTAAAAGGAGTAGCTAAGAAAGATTTAGTGTGAGTGGTTTATGTGTGGAGGGCTGAAGATTTAAGAGTCATGTCAGGGAGTTGGTCTTTGAAGCTGTCCTGTGATTTAGATAGTCCAAAGTGACTGTGTAAAGTAAGAAGGAAAGAGGGCTAAAAATAATGCCTGAGAGATGGTTTTTCCTTTCTCCTATTTATTTATTTTTAAGCTGAGAGGAAAGAAGAACTGGTAATGTTGCTTAGCAAAAATGATTGCCGCTTTAGAAAGCGATTATTATGAAAGATAAACCTAAAAAGGATTTACAAAATAGTGACATGAAAGAAAACAAAATAAACATGCGGGATACTGTCGGAGAATTAAATGCTTCAAGGCTGAAGAAAATGAGGACTGAGAAGGGCTATCGAGATTAGCGATAAAGATGGGTTGATAACTCAGGTTGGACCGCAGACTAGGGATTAGGTATGAATGTAAACAGTGGCCTGAGAAAGATTCTCTGAACTGTAGATGGATTATAAGATTTCCTGTTCTCTATGAGAGTTAATTTGCATGACAGCAAAGATCTTTACATCTTATCTGTACTTTAGCACATTCTTACTTCTGTATTACCTGCTGGGGTTTCACGTCCCCCTGAGGGATATCATAGTTAATATTTTCTGGTCAGTGAATTGGCAGTGAAGGCCAATAATTCAGGCATTGGGAAATGTTGACCCCTGTTCTATAAAACATGTCATCCTATCTCTTCTCTTCCCACTTCAGCTGACCTTCAGCCCAACTGTTTCTTAAGTCAGAACAAACAGATGAAGACTAATCCAATACCATTCCTTTTCACCATCAACTTTTAGGTCTCCTATGTCTTGAGCCTGTAAATCATTGCTAATATAAACAGAATATTTTTCTCAAAGTAAAAGCTTAACATATGCTGTTAAATATTGTTACAAATTATTTCTGAGATACTGAGATAAACACAGAATTTGACTTTAGGCATTATGTACACACTAAACTGCACTTATTAAGGTTAAAAAAGAAAAAAAAATCTCAGAATGACTTGGACATTCCTAATTTCTTTTACCCAAATAATATAATATGCATGCCAAATTTAAAATAAAATTATAATAGTTGCCTGGAAAGAACAGAATTTCTTTTCTTGTTTATTATAATTGATGGCAGAAAAGGTAGTGTGTCATTAAAATAATTATAAATAACCGAAAGTTTTAGCAGCTATTTGAAAGAACAACCAAGATGTTATGCCCTTAAGGTCTAAAAGTCAAAATAAAGAAAGACTAGTAACTACTGAGTATTTCAGTTCAGAGGATGGATAGAAAGAATCACTATTGTCTTAGCAGACACATTTTCTAAGTTAAAGGCACTTGATTTTATGTTATTTTAAAAAATTAAACTGCAGATGTTAAAAATTAAAAATGGGGGAGTCCCATGCTTTCTTATGTAGTCGTCCCTTTTCTGACCTCTCTGTGGCACTGTGGACCATTGTTCACTGAAAATCACGTATTTTACTATTTCAGACTGCCTGCCTGTGCTATAAGTTCAGTCTCCTCCTCAAAAGCATTCTCTCTCTGAATCTATCCTCTAAATTTGAACATTTTTTTCAGTTTCTGTCCATCTTGTAAATTTTCAGTTTCCAGTGAGCCAACAGAAACATGGATACTATGTAGCCAGTTACTAGCTATGCGACTGATATTAATTTGGGTAAGTTACTTGTAATCCCAAGAGTTTCTAACTCCTCTTCTACTTCCCACTCTGTCTCCGTCTTTCTCATTCTGATTTAGAGAATACAACAAATACTATTAATAAAAACAATAAAAAAATCATAACATGCCCAATGCACATTTCTTAAATTGAGTTATTTAATGGGCAGCTCTTCATTTTTCTCTGTGAAACTTTAATGGAAATCTTTTGTCCTGCAACTGTTAACATTACTCTCATTTATATGATTCTCAAATACATGTATCTTGTCCTATTCATTATTCAGTAATCACCTTTTGCAGTTTCAAATCTCCTAGGTTTCTGCTTCCAAGTGTTCTAATAACACCTTAATTTCAACTTGTCTACCTTTTGACCATCTTTTTAAAAATATAACAGTTACTGGTACCTACAGTCACATAACTTGATAATTTGAATTAATCTTTATATGCCACCTGCCTCAGCAGTCAAGCCTTCACAGGTCTTGCTTCACAATATCTCTTATATATAATCTTCGCTTTATTTTACTTCCATGTATCTATTATTTCCCACATGCCATGGACTTTCCGATCATTGGGGTGGGGGGGTGCAGTGTTGAAACAGGTAGGTTGTTGTACACAGTTTATATCCTAGCGGTGAAGATGGCAAGTTACATATGGCAAATACCATAAGGGAGAAAAAGTACAAGATGATAGAGTGAATCCAGCTCAAGAGTGCCATAGACAGTTTTCATGGATAACCATAGAAATGGACACTTCTGCTCTTAAAGATTTAAACTTCCATTTGTTGTATCTGAGTTCAGCTCAAGAGTGCCATAGACAGTTTTCATGGATAACCATAGAAATGGACACTTCTGCTCTTAAAGATTTAAACTTCTATTTGTTGTATCTGAGTTCCTTTCCTCAGGAAATGACCGTCAGGCCTCTCACAAAAAGTATCAAATAACTGAAATGAGATCACCACACCAGATGCCAGACCCTCATTCCCCATGATTGTTTCTGTGTCCTTCCCTATTTCCTGTGTCCTACACCACTGCATTTCTTGCCTTGTATGCAAAACCCTGGTTTTAGTCAGTCAGGGAGATGGATTTGAGACTGAGCTCCCACCTCCGCAGCTGCGGCACGCGATTAAACCTTCTTCCTTGGCAATGCTTGTCATCTCAGTAATTGGCTTTCTGTGAGCTGAGCATTGGTTACTGGTGTTTTGGTAACAAAGAACAAACTGGAGAATTATTAAATTCTGGAAATTAGAGTGAGAAGAGACTTTCTGGAGAAAATGTCTTTAAAAAGTGACAACGGAAGAGGGCACAAGAAGGGGTTGGGAAGAGAGAAGAGCATGTACTCTAGGGAAGCAAGGAGCTTCTGGAAAGATGCGTAGGCAAGAGAAGATATGGCACATTTGTGCAGCAACAATCCTCACTTGTTAGCACATTATATCTACTTAAATATTTAATTTCGTGTCTAAAAGTTGATTTCAAAAATTAAAATCATAGACATCACTTACAGCCATAAGATGATATAGCCATGTGACTATTTAATTTATTCTGGTAAAATGCAGTAAATTATTATGCCATTAAGGCAATTTATTTTAAATAAAATCTTCTACTATCCTACTTCTGTTTATTTACTTTGTTTCTTGTTTGTAGGAATGAAAACTATTTTTTATTCTGGTGAATAAATAAATACAACAATCTCTTTATTCCCTGAGAAAGAAGTACTGTCTTGTTACAGAAGAAAAGGCTTAACAAACAAACAAACAAAAAATATAAAGAATTACAGAAGCTAGCTAAGCTTGTGTATTAGTTCATTCGTACACTGCTACAAAGAAATACCTGAGACTGGGTAATTTATAAAGAAAACAGTTTTAATTGTCTCACTGTTTTGCAGGCTGTACAAGACGCACAGTGGCACCTGAGGAGCCCTCGGGAGACTTAAATCATGGCAAAAGGTAAAGGGGAAGCAGGCACTTACTACGTGGCTAGAGCAGAAGGAAGAGAGAGATGTGGGAGGTGCTACACACTTTTAAACAACCAGATCTTGTGGGCACTCACTCACTACCAGGAGAGAAGCACCAGAGTGGTATCTGCCCTAGGCCTCGCCTCCAGTATTGGGGATTGCAATTCAACATAAGATTTGGGTGGGGATACAGATGCAAACCATTATTAGCTACCACAAAAGAAATGGGGGAAAGGGTCTGGAAACACATCTTGGGAGTATGCCTGCATCAATAAATTCTTTCCATTGAAACTTTCACAGATGAACATACATAATATAAGGTACGAGAATACAGTGTACCACTAACTCAGAGCTTAGCATCTTAGCAAGAACACTTGGAGCCACGCTTTTTAAAAAAATATTATTTATTATACTTTAAGTTCTGGGGTTCATGTGCAGATCATGCAGGCTTGTTACACAGGTATACATGTGCCATGGTGGTGGTTTGCTGCATCCACTGCCCCATCATCCACATTAGGTATTTCTCCTAATGCTATTCCTCTTCAGTCCCCCAACTTCCTGCTATTCCTCCCCTGACCCCTCACTCCCCAGGTTTCAGTGTGTGATGTTCCCCTCCCTGCATCTGTGTGTTCTCATTGTTCAATTCTTAAAACACATGGGAAGCAATAAAGGTTAATATTAAACGAAGCAGACTGCCATAATGGTTTTAGAAGAGTCTTGGACAAGGCAGCAAATGGCTCAGAGAGATGGACCTATTAGAATGAATATTTTACGTAATCCCAGAGAACCTACCTGCTTATTACTCTGGGATGATTTAGAAGTTACTCCCTTTACTAAAATGGTAATCAATTTGCTAGTGAGAGGCACAAGTATATTTGGGAAGAAAAAAGATGAGTATCTTCTGTAGGCTAAGAGTGAGATACAGATGCTGCTATGAAGCTGGACTCATAGTACAATATTCCGCAAACTTGTTTTCAAAGGGTCAGATAATAAACACTTCAAGATTTGCAGGTTAACAAGCAAACTATGAGATGTTATATAAATACTTAGCTATCCAACTAAAATATTATAAAAGCAATTCTTAGCATCCTTTCAGTGCAAGCGGCATGCTGTATCGTTTGCTCAGCCTCGTCCGTGGTCAGTGGAGATGATGATCCTATCCAGCATGACAGAGGCCAGGGAGCATCTCTTAAACATTGCTTGTAGTAGTGTCTGATGGTGCCTTGTATTTCTGTGGCTTCAGTGGAGATATCCCCTTTATCATTTTTTATTGCATCTATTCGATTCTTCTCTCGTTTCTTTTTTATTAGTCTGGCTAGCGGTGTATTTATTTGGTTGATCTTTTCAAAAAACCAGCTCCTGGATTTACTGATTTTTTGAAGGTTTTTTGTGTCTCCATCTCCCTCAGTTCTGCTGTGATCTTAGGTATTTCTTGCCTTCCGCTGGCTTTTGAGTTGGTTTGATCTTGCTCCTCTAGTTCTTTTAAACGTGCTGTTAGGGTGCTGATTTTATATCTTTCCTGACTTATCTGGTGGGTATTTAGTGCTTTATATTTCCCTCTAGACACTGCTTTAAATGTGTCCCAGAGATTCTGCTACATTGTGTCTTCATTCTCATTGGTTTTGAAGAACATCTTTATTTCTCCTTTCACTTCATTATTTATCCAGTCGACATTCAGGAGCAGGTTGTTCACTTTCCATGTAGTTGTGCAGCTTTGAGTGAGTTTCTTAATCCTGAGTTCCAGCCTCTGGAACTCAGTATAGGTTATTGGAAATTACCATAACTCAGTCAGTGATTGACCTAATACTTGGTGGGATTTGAATTTTGGTGACAGCTAGTCAGTTCCTAAGTTAATTGCTTTTTTTTTTTTAAGTGTGTTTCCTCAGGTTTCAAAAATAAAAGGCGGAAGTATTTATGTGCTCCTCCCCCTCAGTCAGTCTTGTATTGAATTTTATTATCTCACCTCTGGAAGATTAAAAATATATATTTATTTGCTCAACTTCTTGATTTGATAGCACCATATGTGGCTTGTCATATTTCTAGAAGAAAGAGTCACACCTGGGAAATCCATATTTACCTCTTCACTTCTTCTCTGTCTAGGATCTTGTTCCTACAGGACTTGAAAGCTTTGAAGTCACTATTAAAAAGAAGTTACCGGGATTTTCTAGCTTTTGGTTGGAAGACTTAACTGAGAAAAGCTAATTTGCTATTCCTGGAAGTAATAGTACTTCTGTGGTTTATATGCAAGGGTTCATCCTTTATTTCAATTATGTATATTAATTTAAGCGTATAGTGCACTGAAAGTCACACCAAAAATTATTCTCATCTTTTAATTTTTGTTTCGCTGCACAATGTTTTAATTGTACTATGTAGCACTAAGAAAGTGTGAAACTTTCATATGTTAGCCACAGGTAAACAAAAATTTCTGCGTGGAGTAGAAATACTTTATTTTTCAATTAACTTTTAACCTAGCAAACACCTTAGTATTAAAAATACATTTAGTTTTCTTAAGAAGCAAAACCTACTCAGCATAATTAACTCATGGGACTTTCTAAAGTTACAAGGCCAGAGTTGGGCATATTTAATGCTATGAATGAATTATCTGGAGAATTGTGGATATCCAATAACTCACTCCACGCTGTGGTTAATATTGAGAAGTGAGCAACTTATGTGTTATAATGTCACTGTTTGTTCTTGAGAATACATTTCTGAATTATATAGGAGAGCTAATGGGAAATATGATTATCTAATAAAATTTGATATATCAAAAACAATTCCTTAACAGAAGTCACAGTAAATGATAGCAAAGGAATGAAACATTAACAACGTGCTAATGTCCTTGCTTCCCCTTTGCATGCATAATTACACTGTGAGGTAGAGACCAGGCTTTCCTAACCTCAGTAACTCACCCCACATTACAGACGTAGTAAGTGATACAGATAAAACTTATATGCATCTCTTTCTGATATCAATCATTGTTTTTTAAGTAAAATTTTTCTTCTTGATTTGTCATGTGACTTCACAAGTTTACACACCATTCTCAAAGAAATATTTAAGATAATACGCAGCTCGTTGCCTGTTTATTACCGAATGAGCTGAAATACAATACTATGGATCCATGTAAGAAATCAAGAAATGTGCTTCCCATGTCTTTACATGCCTTTTAACTCTAAAAATCGTGCCATAGTTTCATCTTTTCCAATAATTTACTTAAATATTTATAAATACTGGAACAAAAATTTTTAAAGAATTTAGTTGTTTTGTTTCATTACTCAGTTTTCCATGTTAGTCGTAATAATGGGAAATGAATTCATTACATTTTATTCCTGGGACACATAAAATTAGGTTTTTGTTTTTTGTGTTAAATGTGTATTTAACCTATCAACACCAGACATTAAATTATACTAGCTATGGGTAACTACTCAGCCAGTATACCTCAGTGCTGTGGTTACAGCCATTTTTTATCTTTTCTTACATGGTGCTTGGTAGAATATGTTAAACCATCATGCTCCGTTCAGTATTGGCTCTAATCAGCTACTATGTGTGAACCCAGAACTTTCTATATGCTATTGCACTGACTAAATATGTCCATATTAAATACCTTAAAATATTTTGCAGTCAGAGATTGTACCTAATTATCTTCTGAAATACGCGAAAATACAGCCTTTTATTATGTACTCATCAAGTTATGGGCCTGCCTTAGTCACTATGTTTGGCTCCAGGGGCCACACAGTCTAATGAAACAGACACACTTAAGTATGATACAGATAATCGCTGACTGTTCTAGGAATTTAGAACTAGGTCACTTAATTCAGACCACATCAAAGTAGAGGGATTGCAAGAGACAGTAAAAATAAAAGCAGAGGAGGCCGGACATGGTGGCTCATGTCTGTAATCACAGCACTTTGGGAGGCTGAGGTGGGTGGATCATGAAGTCAGGAGATTGAGACCAGCCTGGCCAACATGGTGAAACCCCATCTCAGCTAAAAATACAAAAATTAGCCGGGCATGGTGGTACGCACCTGAAATCCCAGCTACTCAGGAGGATGGGGAAGGAGAATCACTCAAACCCAGACAAAATGTAGAGAAGAGAAAGCTAAAGAAAACTAATGAAATTTTAGAGAGCCAGCTAACTTAGAGCAAATGTCCCACCTGTTGGAGATAAAATGTGAGCAAGTGACTCCCTTCACTTTAGCATAAATCTTGTGTCAAAAATAGGTCTGAATAAAAGGCCAGTTGACAGAGGTTAGTCATCTTGATATGGCAGGTAGTCAATAGAATGAATGGGGCCAGGTGTCTCCAGCTTGCATGAGGCTAGTCTCCCAGGTAATAATTGTAATGGTAACTGAGAATGAAATCTATGATAAACATTGAGGCAATTGCACTCCTTCCTTATCTTGGCACACTGTTTTTACATTTGCTGTTCATTAACAAGGGAGCATTGCTAGCTCGAAACCTAGAGAAAATAGTGTTTAGCCTGATAAAGGTGTCATATCAGACGTTTGCTGCATTCGTTGCTATTGTCTTTTCAACTTTCTGTTGCTTAAGTAATGTGAGTCCTTGTCAACTCAAGTGGTTTAAGCCAGCAGGCCTACAGATTAGTGTGTCAGGCAAAAGTTTTAGCAAAAATCTTAAAAAAAAAAAAAACCTGAAAAGTTTAGACAATTACTTTTATATCAAACACCCACTAAATATCTCTTTGTAAATCTAAGTTGGCAATAGGTGACTGCTTGAAAATATGATGCTTCAGGTGTTAATTGATTACCTGTCAAAATGACAAAACACCTTGCTAAAAAGGTTTGGCTTATCCAAGACTAGTGGGTTTGAAAAACACTGAAGGGATTTAGGTAAAGAACAAATATAAAAAGATACGCCTATTTGCAAAGTTACTCAGACAGTGAGTGGGAGAGGGAATGTTGAGAGGCAAGTCTCAGAGACTTAAGAGAAGTTATGGGGTCATAGTGACCATATTAGGATTTTTATATTAGCTAGTTTAAAACTTCTTAGTGAACACTTTTTTTTTTTGGTCTTAGGAGCAGAGATTAAATGATTAGTGACTTCTCCATCACGTCATCGTTACTTCGTTTCTGTAGAATGCCACTCTGGTGAACCCTTCCCCAGGTAAGAAAGAAATAACAGTTTCCATTTGGATTCACTGAGGACCATATCTGCTGAAAGGTCGTCTGTAGAGCGGAAGCATCCCATTAGGTGAGGTTGGAAGCCTCAGAGTTGCTTGCTGCCCAGCCTCAGTTTTTCTCTTTGTGGAGATGCAGTTACCTATCACTGGAAAACAAAACGTCCCATTTTCAGCCATGTGACTGCATCAGCTTATGCGGAGGTAAACTCTGCTGGGCTCAGTCTAGTCTGTGCACTCCAGCTCCACAGTCATATTAATTTCTATAGAAAAGGGCTTAAAATACACAGCTAATGTGAATTTAAAAAGTATTTCAAGAATTTTTTAAAGCTTCTCCTCTGTTTCAAAGCAACTAAATTAGATATCTTTTAACAGTGATTGACCATAATAATTTATCTGTACAACTATCTTTCATGTAATATAGCTCGTTTTTACCCCCACATCTGTTATACTAGTTCATGTGATTCTAAGGCTGTGTGTGAATCATAATGGATTATAGTACATTTTTTTTAAATTATGCTTTAAGTTGTGGGATACACGTGCAGAATGTGCAGTTTGGTTACATAGGTATACACGTGCCATTGTGATTTCCTGCACCTATCAACCCGTCATCTACATTAGGTATCTCTCCTAATGCTATGCTTCCCCTAGCCCGTCATCCCCTAACTGTCCCTGGTATGTGATGTTCCCTTCCCTGTGTCCATGTGTTCTCGTTGTTCAACACCCATTTATGAGTAAGAACATGCAGTATTTGGTTTTCAGTTCCTGTTTTAGTTTGCTGAGAATGATGGTTTTCAGCTTCATCCATGGCCCTGCAAATGACATTAACTCATTGTTTTCACGGCAGCATAGTATTCCATGGTGCATTTGTGCCGCATTTCTTTATCCAGTTTAATCACTAATGGGCATTTGAGTTGCTTCCAAGTTTTGGCTATTGTGAATAGTGCCGCAATAAACGTGTGTGCATGTGTCTTTATAATAGAATTACTTATAATCCTTTGAGTATATACCCAGTAATGGGAATGCTCAAATGGCATTTCTAGTTCTAGATCCTTGAGGAATTGCCACACTGTCTTCCACAATGGTGGAACAAATGTATACTCCCACCAACAGTGTAAAAGCTTTCCTGTGTCTCCACATCCTCTGCAGTATCTGTTGTTTCCTGACTTTTTAATGATCGCCATTCTAACTGGCGTGAGATGGTTTCTCAGTATGGTTTTGATTTGCATTTCTCTAATGACCAGTGATAATGAGCTTTTTTCATATTTTTGACCACATAAATGTCTTCTTTTGAGAAGTGTCTGTTCATATTCTTTTCCCACTTTTAGATTTTTTTTCTTGTAAATTTTTGTGTTTTTTTTTTAAATTTGTTTAAGTTCCTTGTAGATTCTGGATATTAGCCCTTTGTCAGATGGATAGATTGCAAAAATTTTCTCCCATTCTGTAGGTTGCCTATTTAATGATAGTTTCTTTTGCTATACAAATGCTCTTTAGTTTATGCTCTTTAGATCCTATTTGTCAATTTTGGCTTTTGTTGCCACTGCTTTTGGTGTTTTAGACATGAAGTCTTTGCCCATGTCTATGCTCTAAATGGTATTGCCTAGGTTTTCTTCTAGGATTTTTGTGGTTTTTGGTCTTAAACATAAGACCTAAAACCTAATTCTTTAATCCATCATGAATTAATTTTGGTATAACCTGTAAGGAAGGGGTTCAGTTTCAATTTTCTTCATATGGTTAGCCAGTTTTCCCAACACCATTTATTAAATAGGGAATACTTTCCCCATTGCTTGTATTAGTCAGGTTTGTCAAAGATCAGATGGTTGTAGATGCATCACAGTACTTCTGAGGCCTCTGTTCTGTTCCATTTGTCTATATATCTGTTTTTTGGTGCCAATACCATACTGTTTTGCTTACTGTAGCCTTGTAGGATAGTTTGAAGTCAGGTAGCGTGATGCCTCCATCTTTGTTCTTTTTGCTTAGAACTGTCTTGGCCATACAGGTCCTTTTTTGGTTAAATCTGAAATTTAAAGTAGTTTTTCTAATTCTGTGAAGAAAGTCAATGGTGACTTGATGGGGATAGCATTGAATCCATAAATTACTTTGAGCAGTATGACCATTTTCATGATATTGATTCTGCCTAACCATGAGCATGAAATGATTTGTCATGTTTGTGTTCTCTCTTATTTCCTTGAGCAGTGGTTTGTAGTGCTCCTTGAAGAGTTCCTTCACATTCCTTGTAAGTTGTATTCCTGGGTATTTTATTCTCTTTGTAACTATTGTGAATGGGAGTTTACCCAAGATTTGGCTCACTGTCTATTATTGGTGTATAGGAATGTTTGTGATTTTTGCACATTGATTTTGTATCCTGAAACTTTGCTGAAATTTCTTATCAGCTTAAGGAGATTTTGGGCTGAGACAAGAGGGTTTTCTAAATATACAATTTGACATCTCTCTTCCTTTTTAATTTCTTTCTGTTGCCTTGGCCACAACTTCAAATACTGTGTTGAATAGGAGTGGTGAGAGAGGGCATCCTTGTTTTGTGCCAGTTTTCAAAGGGAATGCTTCCAGCTTTTGCCCCTTCAGTGTGACATTGGCTGTGGGTTTGTCATAAATAGCTCTTGTTATTTTGAGATAGTTCCATCAATACCTAGTTTATTGAGAGTTTTTAGGATGAAAGGGTATTGAATTTTTTTGAAGGTTTTTTTTGCATCTATGGAGATAAACGTGTAATTTTGTCATTGGTTCTATTTATGTGATAGATTACTTGAAGTCAGCTCTGGATGAAGCAGACCTAATAGACATTGACAGAATTCTCCACACCAAATCCACAGAATGTATATTCTTCTCAGCATGACATCACACTTATTCTAAAATTTACCACATAATTCGAAGTAAAACACTCCTTAGTAAATGCAAAAGATTGGAAATCATAACAAACAGCCCCTCAGACCACAGTGCAATGAAATAAATACTTAGGATTAAGAAACTCACTCCAAACCACACAATTACATGGAAACTGAACAATGTGACCCTGAATGACTGCTGGGTAAGTAACGAAATTAAGGCAGAAATAAATAAGTTCTTTGAAACCAATGAAAACAAAGACACAACACACCAGAATATCTGGGACACAGATAAAGCAGTGTTTAGAGGGAAATTTATAGCACTAAATGCCCACAGGAGAAAGTGGGAAAGATCTAAAATCAACATCCTAACATCAAAATTACAGGAACTAGAGAAGCAAAAGCAAACAAATTCAAAAGCTAGCAGAAGACAAGAAATAACTAAGATCAGCGCAGAAATGAAGGAGACAGAGACCTGAAGAACCCTTCCAAAAATCAATTACTCCAGTAGCTGTTTTTTTTTTAAGATTAACAAAATAGGTATACTGCTAGCCAGACTAATAAAGAAGAAAAGAGAGCAGAATCAAATAGACACAATAAAAAATGATAAAGGGAGTATCAGCACTGATTCCCACAGAAATGCAAACTACCCTCAGAGAATAGTATAAACACCTCTATGTAAATAAACTGGAAAATCTAAAAGAAATGGATAAAGTCCTAGACACATACATCCTCCAAAAGACTAAACCAGGGAGAAGTCGAATCCCTGAATAGACCAATAACAAGTTCTGAAATTGAGGCAGTAATTAATAGCCTACCAACCAAAAAAAAAAAAAAAAGCCAAGGACCAGGCAGATACACAGCCGAATTCTCCCAGAGGTACAAACAGGAGCTGGTACCATTTTTTCTGAAACTATTCCAAACAATAGAAAAAGAGAGACTCCTTTCTAACTTATTTTATGAGGCCAACATCATTTGATACCCGAACCTGGCAGAGACACAAAAAAAAAAAAATTTCAGGACAATATCCCTGATGAACATCAATGAGAAAATCCTCGATAAAGTAAAAATTCATTTTAAAAAGTATTTTTAAAGCATATTGACATCCAGGAAGGACTGAGGGGAAGGGGTTAAGTATCTGCTATGACTAAATTTGAAGTCAAACGCAATGACATTGTTAACTATCTACAGTTAGTATAAGATTTTCAATTTAAGACAATTTTTTTAAATGAGTAATTACCAACAATCCAAACACAAGAAAAAACACTAGAACATTTTCTGAATGTAATTTTATGTATTAGACAGATGTTCAGTTATAGAGAGAAAATAATAAGAAGGACGCAGGGTTTTATCAAGTAGCCAATGAGAAATTCTTGGGTGATATTAAAATCTAACAATGACCAGACTTCTAGTTCAGAAAGACTGTGCTGGGAAAAAGTGTGGGGAATGAATTTGAGTGGGATAAGGAAGCAAGCAGGAAAAGGAATTACACGTTTGGTGTTTGATGGTTACGGTACACTTGTATTTTCACTAACCTGGTGTTTCAGCAGTACTGTATAAATTTAGAACTGAATCATATTAATTCATTCTGACATGAATTCTAAACATGCTTACTGAAACCAAAATTTGAGATTAAAAACAAACAAACAAAGATGATTTAAAAAGCACCTCTTGTTAAGCCAAGACCTTAGTAAGAGCAGTATCAATAGCATCTGTTAGGCATGAAGGACATTTTCCTGTTAGGCTGTGAGCCGAGAAATAGAAATGAATTAACACACATAGAGAAGGCTGTCGCTGCTTTCAAGCACAAGTCACTTCATTGTCCAGATCTCTGGCATTCCAGGCAGGTGTGCCAAGTCCCAACACTTCTCACTAGAAAAATCATGACTGCTACTTTACAGAAGGGCAGACTGAAACAAACATGTGAGCCACCTGCATAAATTCCTAAAACAATTTAGTGAAAGGCGGACAAAACTGCTATGTCTTGAGTGAGTCCAGGGTCGATGCTTTACTAAGAATGGTCAAATGTTGACTTTCAAGGTATTTTTTTTTAGATTCTGATCAATGGAGAAGTGGAGCCTTCAAAATTTCTCCTCATGGAGGCTATTAATATTTGTTGCGATATTCTTTTTATAATGCTTCATAGTTTTTTTTTTTTTCTCAAATCACCTTGAATAATGTACTTAGCGTAGCAGTTGTGGTTCTACTTGAGACCTGGCTAAGACTGAGCTTGACATAATCAAGCTACTAAGGCATTTGCCTCATGTCTGCATTAAATAGTAAAGAAGAACTGGGAGACAACATTGCAGGTAGAAAAGCTACTTTTCATAGAGGACGGTAGCAGCATTGATAGTGATATAGTCCATCCTCCTTCCATTGAATTTTGAACAGTACATAATTATAAGGAGACTAAGGATAAAGGACATAACGGATCATACTTCTGAGTGCATGTGAGGTACCCATACATGACGACACAGAGCTACGGTGAACAAATTCTGGAGACACAGAGGCCCTGCAATTGTTTCACTGCTGGTTAATTTGTTTATTTCGTAAATGCAACTTTCTCTGTATGAACATCAGTTTGTTACTACATCAGGAATAAAACAGTTGGCGATGTGTATCGCAGTGGACTAGCTTAGGAGTAATCCATGAATTCTCAATTCATCAAGAAAGTGAAAAGGAAATATACAAACTGAGAGAAAAGTTTCCCGTGCCCTATGTCTGATAAGGGCTTGCTTTTAGAATATATAAATAAATCTATAAAAAGTTCATACAACTCAATACTTTTAAAAATATGTGTCTTCTTTTATAACTGATCCTCAAACTTAGGCATTTCTTAGGAGTCAGTCTTAACTTTGTCCCTGTCGCACTTTGTAATGAACACCCCAAGGATTAAATGGTGGTTTCAAGTACAGTCTGTTTTAGACTGTTTTGTGATGCTGTAACAGAATACCATAGGCTGGGTGATTTTTGAAGAACAGAAATTTATTTCCTCACAGTTATGGAGGATGGAAAGTTCAAGATCCAGAGTCTGGCATCTGGCAAGGGCCTTCTTTCTACATCACCCCATAAAGGAAGGTGGGAGGCAGAAGGGCAAAGAGAGAGCCAGGGCTGAACCCACTCTTTTACAGTGAAGCCACTCCCGTGATAATCCATTCATGAGAGTGAGTCCCTCATGGTCTGATCATCTCTTTATGGTCTCACTTCTTCATACTGAAGAGGCAATTAAATGTGGTAGTAAATGTCAACATGAGATTTGGAGGGGACATTCAAACCGCAGCAAGTCCTAATGCGATGGGGCCTAACATAAATCTCATTGCTGGCCCCAAGTACTCTTCTGAGACCCAAACCACAAAACCAGATATTCCTGCAAATCTAGTTTTGATACTATATTGGAACTTCAGAATTAAAGAAAATCGATTGTTTTTCTCTCTGAAATTAGTCTTTTGCAGTATTCCATTTTAATATAGTAAATGGCACCAGAATCTACCCCATGATCATGCCGGTCTTCGGTGTCATCTTTGGCATCTCTTTGCCTCAGTCACTCCACAGTGTACCATGAATCACCAACCAAAAACATGCCAACTTGTACCGTGACTCACCAACCCAAAACATGCCAACTTCTCACCATACTGCCATTAAGGTCTCTGCCTGTGTTATTAAGAGAGCCTCCTAACTCTCTTCGTGTTTCTAGACTGGTTTCCATATTCCCCACACAACACTCAGAGTGCTTCTGTAAAACTACGCCACTTTGTGTCACTCCTGTACACAAAACTCTCTGATGGTTCCCTACATTACCTTGAATAAAAGTCATAAAAATGACATTTTGTCTGTTTCTATGTACTGCTATATTCTAAACACCTGTAATAATGCCTAGTACATAGCTGACTCTCTGTAAATATTTACTGAATGAAGAAAGAGATTCAATCTATCAATTTATAGGCATATCCACTGCTGCATACCACACCGGTTCAAGAAAGCCTTTCGATTCCTCTGGAATTCTGGAATAATTGCTAGCCTCATTGTAATTCCAGTCACCAGCTTTGTTCTTCCACAGTCCATTCTCTATGTTTTAGACATATCTGTGTTTTAAAAACACAGATACAAAAGTTTATCCATTTCTATTGCTATAAAAATCAAGTTCAAATTGTGAGCATGGCCCGTAAACAGCCTGAATCACTGGTTCCCAATTTCTTTCTCTGTGGTAGCTTCTTACCACTTTTCCCTTACTACATAAACCCTAGCTATGCCAGATGCTTTTTAAGTCCCAAAATGGACACAGTTTTTCTCTCTATATAGTAAGTAGATTTCCTTCTTTCCTTTCTGCAAGGCTAGTTTAAACATATTTCAGAATCTATATTAACTTCAGCTTTATCAAATGGCTCTTGCATGCCCTGTTAGACAAAATCAAATCCCCTTGGCTTGTTTTCTGATGGCATCCTGAGATTCAAGTTAAGTAATATTTAGTACTAATGTCATCAACAGATTGTTATTTTCACTAGATTATTTTCAAGAAAATGGAAATGTGTAGAGTAAATATACCACATTATCCTTAAGGACTAGCATAGCTCCTGGAAATATAGGAAGTACTAAAAACTCATCCAATGTGTGATGTATCTGGAAGAGCCCCATGTTTAGAATTGAATAGACCTAGTTTGAATCCCAACTATGCCACTTAACAATTTGTGTGTGTAATTTGCTTGACTTGATATAACTTCAATTTTCTCATCCATAAACGTAAAAGGAATATCAATACTCCTCCTAAGTGGTATTATAATAAGACTTAAGATGGCATAGAAAATGGTGCCTGCCAAAAAGAAAATAACTTTTCTACTAACGTTTAACTCTTAACTACCATTAGACCATATTGTACATATAACAAGCTTTCTGGTTTTGTGGTATGTGAAAAACTGAGTTCAAAACCTAGGCCCACCTTTTACTGCATAAATATGTAACTAAAATGCTCCCACATTCTAATTTATATATTTATAAAGGAGAACAGAACATCTATCTTATAAAATTATCACGGGAATTAACTTTGATAATCAGTATAAAGTGTAATTGAGCAGAGCAGGTGCTCAGTCAACGCCATCTACCATAAATGAGAGGAGAAATAGGGGTAGAAGTAAAAGTAGGATTTGTATAAAGATACATGCAGATCCGCGTGCATTCCTCTAGTCTAGTAGAATGACTCATTTTAATTAATCTCAAAAGATCTATTTTTATACAGCTGTGTATATTGCACACATATATGTATACAGATCAATAAGAAATTCAAGTTTTAAAAAAATGAAATGACCTTTAACTGAATTGAACCCCGTGCACGTGATGCCATTTAACTGCCCGACAATGAGTTTTTAATACCCCTCTTCCCAGGTGAGTGGTTCGATACCACTGTTAGTGGTATAATGGAAGGGGAAATAGTGGGATAGTAGAATAGCAGTATTATGACACTAAAAGTCATCTGCTTCCTATTTAAATAGATAATCCAAAGTTGTACCAATAAAACTTTTTCTTGGTAGTCTGAATAGGCTGCAGCTGTGCAGACCTCATTGATGGTTGTGTACCCTTTTGAGATGCAAACTATTTAACAAAACTCTAAAGTCTAAAAGAATTCTGTCATGTGTGATGGTTTACACAGCAACCTCACACACATAGCATAAAGGAGATAAATGCACTCACAAGTTGAAAAATACATCTTTAAATAAGACCTTTACATTTTCATTTGTAAAGCCTAGAAAGGACAAATTGAAACTGTGCCGTGGCCAGCAGTTTTCCCTTGGTTTCTGCTATGCTGGGACCTTGTAATGCTTTTATAAAATGTTTTTAGAGTGGTCCATGATTGATTACAACATATAACCCTGCTTAAATAGAGCACATGGTCAGTGAGTCTAAATATAAATCAAAGTACCATTTATGTATAAGAAATTCATGTAAAGTATGCATGCAGACTACCAACAAGATTTATTAATACATGTGAAACAAGCCACTATAGATGCTAAGGAAATTCCAGATTTAAAGAGTTCAAAATGTAGGGCAAGTCTGTGTGAGATACAGAACGTACATGTGTATGCGCGCGCGCGCGTGTGTGTGTTCTACCCCGCAAAGTTAACAACGGTGGCTAGAGCAATTGGATTAGGAGACAGATTTCTTCTTACCAAGCACTTTCTTTCTCAGCAGTTGGTCTCTAAGGTGCTGAACAAAAGTATATTTGAAATAATATAATCCCTACAGATCTGTATAAGAGTTTCTTTGGTTTCTGTAGAGTTCCATGAAGGAATGATAATCATGCTTCTGTTCCATTCAGTTCTCAGGGACATTCTGTACATTTAGGGAGCTTAAATCTCTATCAACTTGACAGGGAGACTGAAGGACTGATACATTGTTTAAACTACAGACATGTACAATTCTAATATTGGTTAATTTTTGCACCATATTTTGTCACTCACTTCAAAATGTATAAAAAACAGACATATTTTTATAATCACGGGACTGTATATAATTGTCCACAGTGCCATATTTACCACAGACTTTCTGCTCAGCTTTCATTCATTCATTCTTTCACCCAACAAAGATTTATTAACGTTCTGCTATGCTATGTGAGAAGCTCTGCTGAAACTCAAGAATACAGGTAGTTCATTCCAGCAAGTGAAAGATACGTTTCATGAGAGAAGTCTTAACGGTGATTTAGGAGCACAAACGAAAGAAGTAAAAAATCAAAGTGAGTGGCTGTAGAGGAGGTGGAGGCATTTTGATTAAGTATTGAAAGATGAAATACAGAAAAAAAGTGAGGAAGGGGAGATACAGTACAGCATGCCATGGATGGCCCTGTTCTCCCCTCCGTGGAAGCTCTGTAACTTCTTCCTGCCTCAGACCCTTCTCTCCGTCTCTCATGTTCCCTTCCGTAGCTAGTTCACGCTTGGTCATTACTTATGGCTTAGAATACAACTGTATTTCTAGAGGGAAGGTATGGCTCACTGCACAGACTCCATCCAGGACTCCTGCTGCGGATACTCCACAATTCTTCTTTACATCCCTTATTACATTTCTAATTATTCGACTTATCTATAATCTTCCTCACTAAGCTGCAAACTCCTTGAAGAAACAGACTTGATTGTTCTGTTCCATGATGTACCCCCATCTCCCAGCTAAATTCACAAAATCATACTAGGTTCTCACTTAAATGTTGCTTAATGAGGAAGAAAGAATGTTTGATTGATTACTTAATACATAAATAAATGAATTACTGAGAGAAACAAAGAATGTGTAAGGAGAATAACATCTGAGGACTTCAAAGAAGGTGTACTTCAGAGTATCAAGGTCTGAGTAATATCTTGAAAGCTAAGTTTACTAATTACATTTAATAATTAAACTAATTAGGTATGTGTGATTCTACTTGGGTTTTAGAATGATCCCTTTAGCAGAAGTATAGAGAAGGAAGGCAAGAAAAACTGGAAACAAGAAGGCACCAGTTCATTTAGATGGATCTGAAATAACAACGTCCTGGGTTAATGGAGAGTAGGGGATGAGTGATTTTGAAAAATAGACTCGAAGAGAAAGAAGAGTGTAGAAGTGGACTTGTTTTGGGCTTGTGTACTGAGGTAGAGATTGGTTACAGTCACAACAAAAGAAATGTAGGTTGAGAAGTATACTGGGCAAGAAAGATGATGAATTCAGCCTTTCACACTCTGAGGACAAAGAACTAAGGGCCACCTTGCAAGAATGTCAATGCTAAG